GCTCACGGGCTCTACAGCGCAGGCTCAGTAGCTGTGACGCACAGGCTTAGTTGCTCCGCGGCATGTGGGATCTTCCCGGGCCAGGGATCGAACCCGTGTCCCCTGCATTGACAGGCAGATTCTTAACCACTGCACCACCAGGGAAGTCTCTGTGGGTTTACATTTTTAAACACAGAAACCAAGAAGTAGAAAACCTAAGAACCTTGATTCTTTTCAGACCTATGATCCATACTGCATTCTATCCCATACTGCATTCTATCCCCCTTACAGAACGCTATAAGCACGTTCTCTCGTCAGTCTGACGGCTGGTTATGTCAGGCAGCCAGGAACTGGTGGAAGAGGGGAAGCAATGTTTACTAGAGCGAAGTTCCACAGATGTCCGTTTAAGGTTGAAGTCGACATCATCGTATGAGTAAAGAAGATCTAGATTACAAGTACCATAATCTCGATACTGGCAGACAGAGTTAAAGTCCAGTATTGCATTTAAAGAAAAAAAAAGTGGGACTTCCCTGGCGATCCAGTGGTTAAGACTCCCCGCTTCGACTGCAGGGGGCGTGGGTTTGATCCCTGGTCCAGGAACTAAGATCTTGCAAGCTGTGCAGCGTGGCCAAACAAAACAAAAGAAAATTTTTAAAAAAATAAAGTGAGATGAATTTGCTACTAGTTAAAAATATGTACAGAGAGAATGGATTATTTTCCTGTAGCTAATGCCTATTTTATCCTCTTAAATGTTTTGTCTCAGAATTCACCCAGAGTTCTGAGTTCTACGAAGAATACTGTAATATTCACTTAGTTTTTTTAATGTTATTAAGGTCGTAGATTCTTTCATAACTCCTTTTCCTACCTCTCCCGTTTTAGGATTTTGAGGAATGAATTCATCCCTACTTCGTTCAGGGCTTAGATGTTTGTTTTTTCAGCCATGGGCCGATTTGGCACTATTTATTTTAACTTTCATATTTTAGATTATCTTGTTAATATATATTCTAATGGAAGAACTTTATGAAAAACCTAAATTACAAATGTTACTTTACTTTGTGAGAAAAACAAAGCAACCAACAAATACACAAGAATATTCAGCAAAGAAGTACCATTAGATACGACACCAATTGTGGTATAAAAAATAAACCATGAATATGTGTGTGATTCTATCCTCATTCCAATTTATAATTTTTTTTTTGAAATTCAATGATGTTAACCTTGCTTTATTCTTCTTTCACTATTGTATTATAAAGTGACCCTGGAAGAATTTTGTTTCTTGAGACTGCATTTGATCATAAGCAGAATTTGGCCCTAATTAAAATGGGATTATCATGGGATACTATATCAAAGAAATGTGCTTCTGAGGTGGGTATTCTTTTACTTGTTTTCCTTTAATAGATATAATGCAGGCCAGAACATATTACCCCTTTCAAATAACAACTCTTTGGAAAACATGTCTGGCTTTGGTAAACAGACTTTTATGTTTGAATGGAGGATTAAATTAGCCTTATCCATTTCTTAATATATAGAGAAATACACTAGCAGAATCAAAACCAAAATGTCTAGAGTTTTGTTTTTGGAAGAAAATTACTTTTTGCTTATGTAGTTTTTGATTATTCAGTATATTTTGGTAAAATACTTTACAATAGGACATCTTGTGAAATAATTTTTGTAGTAGTTTTATAGAGTAGGCTAAGCTGCTGTAAGAAAAAGCGCCCCAAAATGCAGTGGCTCGAAGCACAGTGAAGTGTGTTTGTCTCCCAGGTAACAGTGCAAGACAAGTGTCCCAGCTTGGTGGGCAGTTCTGCTCCAGCCAGTCACTGGGGACCCAGGCTGGCAATAACTCTGCCATCCACAGCTGGCTTGCAGGGTCGCTCTGGTCTAGGTGGCTACGTGGGGGAAAGAGAGGGAGTCTCAGGCCAGGGAGATCCTCTTAAGCAGATGAGGCAGAAGTTCCTCGAGTCACTTGTACTCGTATTCCATTGGCAAGTACCCACTCCCATGGCCACACCTAGCTACAAGGCAGACTGGAAAATACAGTCTCTCCATGTGCCCAGGAAGAGGGGAAAAACAGAAACGGTGTACAACTGCAGTCTCCGCATATCTCTGGTTATGAAAAATTATGAATTACCAACAACATGCATTTCAAGGTCTCTAGAACATTATACAAAACACAATAAAATGTAAGAAATAAACAGGTTAATTTTTTTCTATTATGAAAATATTCAACAAGGTAAAAACCAAGTCAGCTCTCTTTGATTTTATGTCACCACGTCAAAAAGATTTTTTTTGTACCAAACACAGAGAGGAAATATCCAACTTAAAATAAATCATGTCCTAAAAGCTGGGAATTCATTTTCTCATAGAAACAATTTTCTAAAAGTGGCCAGGTTCCAAAATCACTTCAAAAGGGCTCATTTACCTCCTGTGGTACATCTGCATTGAAAAGGCAGTGGAACGCAACACAGTAGTGTAGCACTCAAAACGTGAGCTAGAAATAATTTTTTTTAATATTTTTAATATGGAAATTATGTTTAATTAGAGAAGGACGAGGTGAGGGCCGTGGGGAGTGGGAAATGAATACTTTAATGCAAAGTCAAAGCGAACTTTCAGACGTATTCTGGCAGTGGTTCTTCAGTTTGAAAACACACCAAAATGTGTTTTCCTCCTTCGAGGTTAATCATAAGCGAAATGAATATGCTTATCAGCCATGCATTACAGGTAGATTTCTGGAACAAAATGGGAGGGAGAATATAATGAACAAGGTGTAGGAGGAGAGAAGTCTATAAGGTAACCAAGAAAGAGAAGGGAAGGGAGGAAAAATCTCACATGCTCATGTCTCTAGTCTACAAGGTATAAAGAAAGAGCTAAACAGAGGGAAAGACAAAGATGAGGGTGGAAGACAGGAACCAATGATCTCTCAGGGGGGAAGGATGGGGACAACTTGGGATTGAGTCTTCCCTGACCCCATCTCCAGGAATTTGATTACTGACTGCAGTGAGGGTCTCAGATTAGAAGAGGCAGCATGCAAGCAACCATGGCTAGAGAAAGAATGTTCGCGAGCTAAGAGGAATTTAGGGAGTGACTGACTTCTATTTCTTTTTTTGTTAATTGGCACAAGGAGAGTTCGTGGTTTAAAATTAAGAAAAGGAAAACATATCAAAATGAAAATTAGAAGAATCTTCATGGCAGAAAAGATACATCTGAACAGGGCCCTGATGAAGACACTCCTTTGCATCTTTGAAGTACACATTTGTTTTCTTCTTTCTAGCTGTTCTATTTCATTACAACTTAATAGTTCCCCTACTGCGTACAACATGACTTCTGAAATGCTTGATCTTGAGTAAAACGGCAATTTTGAGCAGCTTGATCTGGGGGTAAGTCCTGTGTCTTAAGTACCGTGGAAGGCTGTTCCCCGTGAGGCTGACTGACTGCTCACAGCCCACTGATTGCGGAGCTCACCAAGGGATGTGGTTTCTCCCGCTTGACAGCCACACATACTATGATCAGAGAGACATGACATGGGGCTCCTCTGAAATTACCTCGAATTGCCTTCCAAGCAGTACTTGGTCTAACAGTGGCTCTGGCAATAAGGAACCATCGCCATGGGTATCGAAAGCCCACCCAGCCTTTCTGAAGCCTGAGTACGAAAAAATGATTTCTTTAACTTCGGAAAATGAAAGCACCATTTGAAAATAAATACGAATTCTCAAATTGGCTGCAAACTATTTAATCAAATGCCTTTTGTGGTTTCAGAGAATATGAAGACAACCCCAAACATGTTGACACAATTTCACAAATTTCTCTTATCCCAGCTTATTGTTGTCTTAAGTATTTTGCAGAGAGATACAAGTTTATGAGACAAGGAATCGAAATGAAGTTGAATAAATACAAGTGTTTGTTTGTATTCCATCTTGAGTCTTAACTCTGAGCCTAATTAGCTGCGTTATCTTGAGCAGGTCCTCAGACATCTCTGGATTTGATTCCTCAACTGGAAATCGAAGGGATTCGATGAGATGAGCTCTAAGACCCCTTGCAGCTCGACAGGCAGTAATTCAAGTTTTTTCAGCTTCAGCTTTGCCGTGACAGGGGACTTTACTGGGTTTTGGGAAGACGGAGCTACTGCTTCACGCCTATGCAATACTGCCCTGAACAGACATGTCACAGCTGCTCTGGTTCCTTCTGACAGAGGCTGCTTGGATGGGCGTGAAGCCAGTGAAATTCCAGCAATAAAGACTTGTGGAAAAGCTGCCATGGGACTCTTAAGGTTTTCCACTATAACCTGATGACCCTCAGCCAACTTTACAAAGTGATGAACAAGCATTCCCAGTCAACAAAAAGAAACCCTTCAACCATGGCTCAGCCCCTCCCTGCCACTGGAGCTCTCACTCAGAACGCTAATGCCAAAATACTGGTTTACCAGTATTTTTCATTTGCAGTAATAACCTCTGAGTGAGGAGGTTTATCAGCAGAATGGACCCCAAACAAAAACAAATAAGTGCATGAAGAAACTTTTCTGTCTCATATTGGCCCACCTGGTACCGGTGCTCATTTCTGAAACATCACCAGGGCATCAGTGCCCTCCCTCCCGCTCCTCAGAAGCTAGGTTTCTGGTCTCACACTGTCTCCCTGTCCCACCATGAGACAGATTCGGGAAAGCATCTCACTAAAAGATCAGGCCTCTGACCTGAAACTTCTGATTTCAATAGTAAGAGTAAGGATAAAGGCTACCTTGAACTGGGGCCTACTCTAGGTCAGATCACTTTATTTGGTAAACATTCTTTTTTTTTTAATTTTATTTATTTTTTTATACAGCAGGTTCTTATTAGGTGCCTATTTTATACATATTAGTGTATGTAGGTCAATCCCGATCTCCCAGTTCATCCCACGAGCACCACCACCACCACCACAACCGTCACCAACACAGGCAGAAACTGAGGCCCAGACAGATAAAATAAATTGCCCAAAGTCAGCCCCACCGGCCCCACCCTAGATGCTAATCCACTCACTTCACAGCTTACCTGGAGCCATCTACAGGGCTCTGTCCTCTGGGGTAGGTGAGAGTAGCCAGGAGGATGAAGAAGGGTTAGAAACTGACAACCAGAATTGGAAGACTTCAATATATTTCATCCTCAAAGAGTCTATCCTTTTGATAGCTGTCCTCACTCAGGCTCGGGTCTCTGAAGGTCGCTCTGAAAAGTGCATTAATTTGCTTTTCATTTATCTAACAAAGACTCACTCAAGCACCTCTTACATGCACAGTAACTACTGAACTGGCTGCTGGAGAGTAGGTCTGAAAGAAGAGGAGAGCACTCCAAGATGCTGTCCTCGCCCCAGGAGGATTAGAGTCCTGTACGCAGCCTGTCAGACCTCCTTTAAACCCATGTAACCTCCCAATGCATCTTGTCTTCTGCCTACGTTACCTTCTGCCGACATTAAGAAACTAGAATTATTAAATAATTCTAATTAATAAATAAATAATTAAGAATTATTTTCTCTCAATTTTAGAAATTTGAATTTTAATCATTCATGTGAAGTTTTCACTATCTCTAAAATATATCCTAAGGATGTCCCTGATTGCTCACAGTAAACTACTGGTTATGTGCAAAGTAGTTCTTCCCCCAAATCACCACTTCTTCCCTTTTCCAACTCCAGACTATTAGAAAAACAGAAATTAAAACCACCTGCCTTGACTGACACTGCCATGGGGTCTCCAACGGTTTCCTTTTTCTGCATAACACCCAAGCCTGGGGGTTGACTGCCAAGGACTGGAATTTTAGCTCCCATATTTCATTTTGTCTTGCTCGTTTTGCTTTTGTTTTTAATAACTCCTTTTTATCTCCTTATTTGCTTCTACGTCAAATGGCCAGACAGAACTAGACCCCTTACCTACATGGACCCCAGAGTACAATCACAATTATTCTTTTATTACAGGAGTCGGGAAACTGACATGCTACTCATCTTTGATTAATTTCTGACACTTGGTTCTAATAAACAGTGGGTTTTGTTTTAACCAACACTTCCCTAGGGAACAGCAGGGGCTAAAATTAAAGCACAGAACCAAAAAACATCTCTGCCCTGAGGAGAATAAAAAGATTTCTTTCTTTTGACTTACTCTCTGAAGCTACCCGGGGCTGAATTGATTATCTACTTCTGTCTAGAATCACTGAAGTATTATGCAGTTTTTTCTGCAGTTTGACGTGCTGTTGTGACCCCTATTAGTATGGGGACGTCCCAGTTTTGAGGGCAACAAGTAACACGGGCATTCTTCATAGGGCATCCACTCTTCGTCCATTTATTTGTTATAAAGCTCTAGTGGCCCATATTGCTCACAGGATAATGACGTTTTTAGAAACCAATGCTTAGAAATCAATATATAAATTGAATGCTACGAGTGAAGTCACAGAATAAGGTAAAAAATAAATAACAGAATTATATTCACTGAATATTATATTCGTGGTACAAATTAAACCTAACTCAATTTTTTTTTTTCCTGGATTTTTTAGTTGGATTTTTTAACTGTTTGGGTCATTATTAGAAGCTGGAGCAAGCCTATTCTGCCATGTCTCTTCTCTTTCTGTGACACCAATTATTTCAATTTATGATGCATATATTCAGATTATTAGAGCCAGATGTGACATATAAGGTAATTCTAGAAGCCCTTGCTGAAAGAACAATGCAGCCCCACCTGGATGTCCGGCCCTCTTGGAATAAATGCACGGAAGGTACACAGGGAACAGTGGAAGAGGAAAGACCTCTGTCAGACCACGCTTCCACCTTAGAAAGGTCCAGGAAGGCAAAGGGACTCACCCAGGGTGAAAAAGTTTATTAAGCCGAAGAACTAGCACTCACTGGGCTATTTCCTAGGATGGTCCCTTACCTGGTAAAAGACACGTAAGACCAGGAATGTCCTTGAAAATGCACACTGTTGTCTTCATCATAGTTTACCTGTGGGTTATGTGCCCAATTTGCTTGTAAACTGACTTGGAAACATCAATCATTCTCCAATAGTAGGTTAACTTATTTTGCTGGGTGAGCAGTCCATGACGAGGAAGTTGTGATGCGGCCGGGGCTGCCTGATCGTCACTCCTCAGCCCTCACCCTCAGCACGCTCTGGGCACCAGGTGAAAGGAACCGGCCTAACCCAGACCTCAATTTGCAATTCCCTTCTAATCTTTGCACCCTGAACCTTTGCCAGTTCTATGCTGCATTCTCTCAGCCCTTTTTGAGTCTTGCCTCACTCTAATTACAGTGGTAAAGAGTACAGATTTTGAAGTCAGACTTCCTGGGTTTGAATCCCAGCTCTACCGCTATCTAATGATGGACTCTTGAGTGAATTACTTAATCTCTCTCCGTTTTGGCTTCCTAATCTATAAAATGGGTGTAATAGTATACCTGATAGGGTTGTTGTATTTAAAAAGTTATTATATGAGAGGTATTCAGAACAATGTTTGGCACAGAGTATACTGAATGGGAAAATTATAATTATTGGCTTTGTTTATATTCTCACCTACAGGCCTGTAGATGATGATGATAATATAATAATAATGGCAACAACAACACTTATGTACCAGGCACTGTGCTGAACGCTTTACACACATTATTCCAGTTAATCACAGTAAGTCTTTACATGCTACTAGTATTATCCTCTTCTCTTCTACCCCTTATTTTTTGCAGATAAGAAAACTAAGGTCTCAAGTAGTAAGAAGCAGAGTCAGGACTTGAACCAAAATCTGTCTTGGTATCTTCCCAATCTTTCTGAGAAAAGAGGCTTGGAGTTCTTTGAAAGTTCTTTTACTTAAATGGGTTGCCTTACCTCCCATACAGGTCAGGAAGACTGAAATCCCCACATAGGCTGAAGGGCAGCAGCAGGAAGGGAAGGGTCTCTCCTGGAAGATGTCAGTCATAAGACGATGACACCATTAATGTCTTAACCTGCCCACCCTGCCTTCCACCGTGTCACACGGCACCCATGTGGGCTGTACTGCTGAGGCCACCCGGACCCCTTACTTATTTGAGTACAGAATTAGAAAATGTTCTGATTCCAGCCAAAGTGGTACTATTTGTTATCTCAATGTCAGTAGTTCTGGGGAGTCATTTATTTCTACCCCAGCCTTAGGGTAAAGGGAACATCTCTTCCTTTCCCAGATTAGAAAAAAAAAAAAAATTATGATTTTCCTCCCTTCCTTCAGGGCTTATAACAGCCAGTATTTTACACTCTTGCCTCACACTCACCTAGTCTCAGTTGTCAATGTATCTTCCATTAGTCTAAACTGGTGTCTTCAGCGGAAGGTCTGGGGCTGAAGGACCAGGGGAGAGAGAGAAGGAAAGTGCCCAAGTTTGCTAGAGGAACACCATGCACAGCCTTGTCCCTGCTCCTGTACCACCTGCCCACACGTGTATCTCCTCTGGGGCTCTCTGCCCCCTTTGCTCCCACATTGTACCCCAGAGCGTCACCCAGCACCTCCCAGGACAGCCTTTGGGTGCTCCCCTGAAATGCAGGTGAATCAGCAGCATGGCCTCTGTTTTTCCCTAAGACCCACCAGTGGCACCCACGCTACACCTGGCTCATGGGGCTAAATTTAGGAAGGGGAATAGCATGGGAAGGATTTTTACTCTACTCCCTTTCCCCACACCCACCATCATCTTTAGCCGTCAAACTATTAGAAGGTGTTGCAAAGCTGAAGTTGAATGTTTGTTATATTAAGAGTGGTGGGAAAAAGAATCTGAGAAAAAAATATATATATATAGAAAACTGAATCACTTTGCTGTACACCTAAAACTAACACAAAATTGTAAATCAACTATAATTAAAAACAAAAAAAAAGAGTGGCGGAAAAGCTGTTTGAAGACATACAAACACAGCTCCAGCGGCCAGGGGAAATAGAAACCCTAGTGGGCAGCTGAGGGGCTGACAGAGGAAAGATAAGCAAGCCAGTACATTTCTAGGGCCAGTGGAAGAGAACAAAGGGGGAGGTTAGCAAGTGGCCTCAGACATAAGCCTTAACCCAAAGGTCCCCTTGTCCCGTCCCAGCCTGTCTGATCTATCCTAAATTTTCCTAACATCCTTAGTTCCTTCCTTACTGGGCACTTCACCTCAGTCACTGAAGCCACCACCAGCTGCCACTGCTTGGCACAAAAGGTAGGTGAGGAGAGAGGGAGTTCCCAAGCCTGTGCTGGAAGGAGAGATGGCCTCCGCACGTCCCTAGTTGTGCTCTGCGCATGCTTTCCTTTAGAGACAAGGCTGCACGTGGTGCTTGGTCTCCGCAGTACTTTTAGTAGTGTGCTTCAGTTGTTACAGGATCCTTAAGGGCTGGGTGTGGAGCTCTAACCTATCCATATATGATGTGTCATGGGTGCTATACATATATGATGTGTCATGGGTGCTGTCGGTACCCTTCTCAGATCCCTTCCTGGGGCCAGTATGTGCATCCCTAGCTGCTGTGAGTGTTGGTTGCTAAATGCAGCTGCCTCTCTCTCAGAGAACCACCTGTACCCTTGGGGGGAACGGGAGGTGCCTTGCATTAGGGGTTACCACCAACCTACAGCCAATGAGTGACTGATAATAGGAGTGCAAAAGGGCAATCTCTTTGCCCCAAGGAACCAACTCTGTGGTCCAATTCCTGCTCCAGAGTTCCCCACAGGATCATGCTAAAGCTGGTCTCCAGCTGAGGCCTTGTCTTGTCTTTGCTTTTATCCCCCTTACCCTATGCTACCTCCCTGGTTCCCCTTCTCCTGAGGCACACCCTCAATAAGTCACTTGCACAAGAATCCCTGTCTCAGGCTCTGCTTCCAGAGAACCTGATCTAAGACACATGCTCATTTCATGTTTATTAGAGGCCCTTTATTGTCACCAGAGCAATACATCTCTGAGAAAACCAAGGGTGAGAAGAGGAACAGCTTGACAGGACCCTAAGCCAAATTTGGACATACAAGGCAACTCAATTTATAATATTCCTGGGCCTATGCCTAAATGAAGATTTACTTATTCATACTCTAAGGTAATTTTTCTCTTTCTACAGAATATGAGTTATTATACTTATTAAAAGAATTAGATGTGTAGCATTTATTATTAATCAATACATTTGTTAGAATTCTTTCAAATGAGGCTGGATGATTCTAAATTATTTTATAATAATTATTCTTACTATGGTCATATAAATCTCACATTTTAAATCAGTTGTTGGGTTATTTTCCCTCCAAGAACGATAAACTCTGTTACTGTGGATGATTGGGTCCCTGATAACGAGGCTCTGGTTAATCCAGCAGTGTTATAAACAGATCAGATTTCCAGTTTGCAATTAATAAAAATATAATTAAACCCATAAAGGCAAAGCAGAAGATATTTTAATCTTTCTGCTATGATTCAGCAGTCATATCGGGGACATCATTATAAACCTCAATTATAGCATTGGAGAAGTGTAGGGAGATTGGTGAGTGGCATTCAGGTGGAAAGAATGCCAGACAGTCCAGATTTTACTGCACATGTTTACAAAGATGCAACTTCTTAACATCAGGCACCACATTCACTGTTTTTCCCCAGTATTTGGATCCTAGTATAGGCTCTTGTGGAGGCCCCCCATAGTTAATCTCAGCTGACTAAATCCATTCTCCTAGCCTACAATTAAAAAACCAAGGGCTTCCCTGGTGGCGCAGTGGTTGAGAATCCGCCTGCCGATGCAGGGGACACGGGTTCGTGCCCCGGTCCGGGAAGATCCCACATGCCGCGGAGCAGCTGGGTCCGTGACCCATGGCCGCTGAGCCTGTGCGTCCAGAGCCTGTGCTCTGCAGCGGGCGAGGCCCCAACAGTGAGAGGCCCGCGTACCACAAAAAACAAACAAACAAACAAAAAAAAACCAAGACTTTCATTTTCGTGGGATTATCCTCTCAAAAAACTTCTGCCTAAATAAGAAGTCAATCATATTTTAAATCCTATTTCTGAATACATTTGTATTTATTCCTTTTGGTATAAACTGTTATAGTTTCCATTTATAGTTTATGCTTTATTTTCTTTCTATATTGTACTTTGCTATTTAACATAATAAAATTTTAATCACCCTCCTGCTCCATCAAATTATTGGAGGCTCCTTTAAGGAGTTATTTATGATTTGGTCTCTAAACATTTTATTATTTTTTTAACAAGAAACTATCATTAAATAAAAAATTCCTACAGATCTGAGAACTGTTGGTTGTTTCTAAAAAGGCCCTTTATGTGGGTCAAATAAATCACAATATTTATAGATCTTTGCAGTGTTTCAGTATGTGTACAAGATTTTCACTAGGAATGGTGAAGAAAACCACATTTAGTTGCTTTCTACACACATATACTGAAGAGAAGAGGAGAGATGATTTTTTTTCCTTCCAAACTTGTCAGTAACAGTGACTAAATGCAGGCTTGGTAAGATAGGCTGAATAACTTTAAATGATCCCATTTGTACAAATTTTAGTATATGACTTCAGGCTTCAAGGTAGCCTTGATATCACAAGATTGTTGCTGTAACTCCAGCTATTACATCTGTGTTTCAGGCAAGAATAGTGCTTGACTCAGCCCTGCTCATAAATGAGGACACACAAAGGAGTTTTCCTGGAAGGCCCATATCCACATGGCCAACACTTAGTAACCCCTATCTGCAAGGAAGGTTGTAAAAGAAAACTTCTCACTGGGCACAAAATCAGGTTTCTATTACTAAGAAAGATGTGGAGAAAGGGAATGGGATGGGCAACTAGCATTATCTACCTAATTTTCTCTTTTAGCATCTCTTTCCTCAGATGGCCTGTGAGCTCATATTAATATTAATTTTGTCATTAATTTTTGTAAGCCCAGAACTAGCACAGTACCATATTTATTATGTTTATAAATTAATGACGAAAATGGAACTCTCAGCTCATCATAGGTTAGAAGGAAGAAGATCCAAGGCAAGTATAACAGATGAGTAGATGACATGAGTTTACTGCATTTATACTATCATTCATTCATTTAATTGTTATTTCAACTAATATTAATTGAGTTCCCAGTCTGAGCCAGGCCCTGTGTCAGGCATGGGGGATAGAGCTATAAATACAACAGAGCCCCCGGCTTTAAGAAGGGGGTGGGGGGGCGAAGTTGGAGGACGATAGTGAGGGCTCCACTGGTAAACAAGCAATTTCAGGGTCACATGGTAAGAGAAGTGAGGAGTGGTCCTGAGCCACCGTTTGAGGTTAGTAAGCTGTTAGTAGTCTGGGTGAAACACAGAGTGGGGAAAGAAGCAGCGAAAGAGAAGGGAAGATAGGTGGGACTAGACAATAAAAAAATGTGTAAGTCATACTCAGAAGTCCATAATTTACTCTTTCCAGCACACATACCTACTTGTTTCTGACAAAATGTTTGTTTCTCCCTTGGACTTCCTCATGAACGGATTTCCCGACACGTGGCCCTTAATGGATCTGACCCACTGACAAGCTTCTTCTGGCCTAACCTGTAGTCACAACTGTGTTCCATGAGCCTTATCTGACATGGTACAACTGTCTTCCCAGCATCCCATCTTACAAGGTGGTGTTCCCTGGTGGACCTGTTTGGGAAGTGTTGGTCCAGATACATATTTCTCAAGCTTAGCAATCTGATTCCACTGACACAATAAAGAAAAAGTTGCCAGGGATTTCCAGAGAAAGGAATTTATCCCCATATGTTTCTCTCCTTTCAGATTCTCTTCTTTTCTGAATCCATCCTCTCAGATTCTTTTCTTGAAAATCAAATCTGATTACATCACAGGGCTTGAAGTGCATGAATACTCACTCATCTAGTTAGGTTACTTTCAGGGAAAATAATTAGAAAGCAGAAATAAGGGTTGTTTACAAATCCTGCCAAGGACATTTGGTGTGATCTCAGGAAGGCTTAACAGGGATGTGATTATGGCTAAGAAAACTCAAAACAAATTATACTATATGCTGAGGAAAGAATGCATTAACCACATGGGGCTGAGGTAGGGAAGAGATTTTTCTGGGTTTATCCGGGCTGGACAGAGGTAACTTCACTGACTTCTGCAGCCACCAGTAAGGCACACTCTGATTCGGAGGTGGGGATACCTTATCAGGTACCTGGATCCTAGTGCTTTCCCTAAATAGTGGACACAGATATTCAATCATAGCAAATTTCATCTGATTTAAATGCTGGTCACATGAAAGGTAGCTGTCATGAGTCAGTCAACTTGTTCACCTCTGGATGCATGATAAAATCGAGGTCAGGACCCTCCTGGTGACCAAGAGAGACTAGATTAAGGTTCTTCTACTTGGTGAGCTCCTGAGTCCTGGTTTAACAATAGCCACACTCCTTCCTGTTATCACTCATCCCTGTTTCAAGACCTCCATAAAAGAAGCATGACTATGGCAGATTCATTTTGTTGTGCAGTGGAGGCTAACACGACATTGCAAAGCAACCATACTCCAATAAAAGTTAATAATAATAATAAAAAAGAAGGATGACTATCACAGCAGAAAAAGGGAGGAAGGTCCTAAAAAAGAAGGAGGGGTCAACATTGGCAAATGCCACAAAGGGCACCAGAAGATGGGGACTGAATTTTTCCATTAGATTTGGCAATTAGGCAGTGACTGGTGTTACTCAGTGGAATTAAAGGTTGACAAGGGAATGAGAGCTTAGGAAATGTTAACATTAAGGCTGGAAAACTCCTCAGGGAAGAGGATCCATGCCCTACAGAGTCTCTTAAAAAAAGTTCCCTCGGGCTTTACACTTGAATCATAGAGAGCTTTTCTTGTCTCCAAATCCTCCAAATGTAGATTAGCCAAAGTGGGGTCTTACCATCCCTCTCCTCAGTTCACCTCTGAGGTAGAGGAACTAATGAGCTGTGCAATAACTAAAGGTCAAAATAAAAAGAGGAAGAAACAAAAAGCCTACAAACCCAAACTCCAAACAAAACGAATCAAGCCCTGAGTAAGACGAGCGGTAACAAGTTGTGCTTCAAATGTAATATTCCCGTTTCGATGATTAAAAAAGCAAAAGAGCAAAGAAAAAAAAAACCCAAAAACTGAGTGTCTGGAGAATCAAAAGGGACATTTTATAACTGGAATGCTTCCTTGCACCTCATCCATTATTCATCCTCATCCCATTTCCCTCCAAACTGATAGCTGTTCCTGAGTTGTGGGCTTGTGTGAGCACAAGTCTGGCCCAAAGACTGGATTCTGTCTGGTGGCTAGAGTAATCGCATGCCGTAAAAAAGAGGTGGAATGGTGAAAACAACACACACATCTGCGTTTCCATATGAAAGCACTGCTTTCCTTCATTGACAATTTGCTATATTTAAAGGTAGATGCGTGTGCATATGCGTGTGTGTGTGTGTGTGTGTGTGTGTGTATGTGGTGGAGTGGGGAGCGGTTTTCTGAATCTGAGCCCAGCTCTTTCTAAACTTGGTTACTCACGTCTGATTCATTCGCTGTGTTTTTCGTCTCCTGTCTCTGTCACTGCCTGCTGCTGAGAAGGGGGTCGCTGAATCATTGCCACTCCAGATGAAAAGCAATTCAAACCCAGTCCTGAGGGGATGGAAGGGCTTTTTTTTTTTTTTTTAAAGCGTCCGCAGAAAAAGCCTCCTACTTTCCGGGGTGACGGTGGAGGGCAGTTTTGCAAGTCTCATCCCCGGGCTATGGAAGATTTTGCTCCGTGAGAGTCAGCGAGGCACCGGTCATCTCACCATTTCTGGCTTTCAGGTCCACGGGCCTCGGCTGGCTGGGGGTGTGCGACCGGCCGGGTGGCGTGAGGGCCGTGCCGGGGGGTATGGGGCGGGGAACCGACAGCCCGAGCGGCTGCGCCACGCTCCCCGCCGCTTTAAAAGCTCCCACAATGCAGCGCTGGCGTCCCAGTTCCGTTACACTGTCTCCCGGCGCGGGCGAACCGGCGAGGCGCGGGCGGGGTAGCAGGGGAGCGGCGGCTGTAACCCGAGCGCCCGGCCGAGGGGGGCGCCCCCGCGCCGCCGCTCTCGCGCGCTCAGCCAGCGGCCCGGCGAAGGGGCGGAGCCGCCAGCCGCCCGGCCCGGCCCCCGGCCCGGCCCCCCGCCCAGAGGCACCGGCCGCGGGAGCGAGCCGGCCGCGGACTCCGCCGCTTACGCTCACCCGGCGTCCCGCACCGCGCCCGCCGCCCGGTGCCCGTCTCCTTGCCCAGCCTCGCCTGCCCGCTGGCCCGCGGCATCGGCGCAGCGCTGGGAGCGGTTCCCGCCGGCGGTGCCGCAGCTGCCCGCGCGCTCGCACACCCAGGCACCGCCGCCTGGGGCGTCCGCGCTCACCTAGCGCCGGCCGGGAGGTGCGCGGAGAGGGCGCGCCGGGGAGCTGGGGCCTCCCGCCGGTGCGGGGCGCGCTGCCGGAGGAGCGCCGGGGAGCGAGGCGCCCCGGGCTGCGTGGCCGGGGACCGGCGCTGGGCGGCCGCCGGGCGCCGCCGCGTCCCCAGCGCCCCGGCCGGCCCCGCGGGGCGGCCTGCGGGGGCGGCGCAGTTGCGAAACTGAGTAAGTATTAACTTTACTAGGCGGCCGAGATCTCTGGGCAGCGTCCGGGACCCCTCCCTCCTCCTCCTGGAGCCTCCGGGCTCCCCCTTCCCCGCCCCTCTCTCTGCACCTCGGATTTCTTCGTCCGATCTGCCCCCGCCCCGCCGCCCCCGCCGCCGCCGCCGCCGCCGCGGGCTCCAGCTTCCTCCAGTTCACCTTTTCCCTCCTGTCTCCCCTTTGCGCGTTCTCCTCGCCGCACACACGCGCTTTGACCGAGAGTACGAGCTTGTTTCCAGCCTCTGTTTCCTCCCAGTGTCCTTGGCTGGGGAGTTTAGAGGCCACTTTTGTTGGAAAGGGAAATGTATGTCTGGCTTCTTTAATTTCGCTCCAAATGGAAATCGGATGCTCGCTTGCCGAGCGACTGCTTGGTGAACGCTTATTTTTTTCCTCTGAAAAGATGATTGGTTTACAGGTTTTTAAATGTTGTTTGAACGATTAACCATCCTCGGTGCCTATTTCCCCTTGCCGCCAACCCGTCTGGGGAGGGGAGTCCAGAAGAGGGGACTTTCAGAGTAATTCCGTTTTGCAAACTAGAAACTTTGAGAGGGTATGTCGCGGAGAGCTTAATAAGATTGAAGCCAAAGGGACGTGAGCTTTGAGTGTGGGGTTCTCGTGTAGCACAGGATCTTTCACGCCAGGTACCTGGGCTCGTAAGCGAGTGTTGCGTTGTTATTTTAGCATCCTAGAGCCGCCTGGTTGCTGAACCACTACTTTCTCAGCATCAAACGGCATCTTGAGCAGTGCAGGCGTTGGCTATAATTGCGGGTCAGTATTGCCCCTGATCTTTAGGCATTAGACGGGAAATAGATGCAGGGCACGTTTCATAGCTGACTTAAACCCGTCAGGTTAACCTTGTCAATACATCAAAGCATTGCGTTAAAAAAATTCCTCCAGCCTGATGACACAGAGGGACGAACATTTATGGATTTTCCAGTGTAATGTGCCACAGGAATTCTTCGTTAGATCTGTTTTGTCTGCAGGAAGCACCTTTAAATATGGATAGATTTCTGATTTTCTGTCGGTGGGATTAACCACCCATTCTGGTAGAAGGCCCCAGGTAATCTTTTATTTATTTATTTATTTTTAGATTTATTTATTTTTGGCTGTGTTGGGTCTTCGTTGCTGCGCGCGGGCTTTCTCTAGTTGCGGTGAGTGGGGGGCTACTCTTCGTTGCTGTGCGTGTGCTTCTCATTGCGGTGGCTCCTCTTGTTGAGCTCTAGGCGCGCAGGCTTCAGTAGTTGTGGCATGTGGGCTCAGTAGTTGTGGCTCGCGGGCTCAAGAGCGCAGGCTCAGTAGTTGTGGCTCTGGGGCTTAGTTGCTCTGAGGTATGTGGGATCTTCCCCGACCAAGGCTCGAACCCGAGTCCCCTGCATTGGCAGGCGTATTCATAACCACTGCGCCACCAGAGAAGTCCCAGTCTTTTATTTTTTAATTTTCTTTTTTCTTAAGTCTTTCATCTCTGGGTTGCCAGGAGTTGGCAATCATATTGTGAAAGAACAGAAAAATGGGAAGCTTTCTTAATGGATTTTCAGCATCCCGTCCTTTGCCTGGGTGAGGCAGTAGTGAATGCCAGCTAGCCCTCTGCAGGGAGAGGTACTGCATGGACACAGGAATCAGGAGGCAGGACAGAGCAGTATTGTTTTGGAGGATGGTTTGTGTGAGATTTTATCTTTTAGCTGGCATATCAATTGTACTTTTAATTCTATTTATCCCCATGGGGAACTATCCCAAACCATAAATATTATATGTGACCATACCCCACTTAAAGAAGACTGAACATAATTTGATGATTGGACTTTTGAAGGATCAGACACAACAAAAATATAATTTGTAATGTAGACGGTAAAACCTTTCAAAAATCCTCCCCTTCCTCATTCTCTCTCCTTTTAAGAGTCTTAAGACGGTACTCTCGATACACAGTTGGCAGTAATGCCTTGAATTCTTTCTAGGTTCATTGATAAGACCTAATTTGGGGGCTTCAGTAGCTGAGGGGGACATCAGAGAGCTCAGAGAGGGAGGAAATCATGGGACTGTGCAGGGAGGAAAGGCATTTCAGTTTGCTGAAGTGGCAGCATGCTGCAGAGAAAAACAGTTTAAAAGAAGTGAGAATGTTTAGATTGTTTTTAGCGTGCATGTTTCCTGAATTTGTCATTCGGTTGAGATATTTAGGAATTGCAGAATTTAAATTCTGTGAGGTTGTGGTATCATTTCTTTTTGCCTAGTATTTTATTTTTATTAAGGTTTCGATTTTTTAATGTGAATCTCAATGCTTGGCTTTTGTAGCCTCTGTACTGTGTGGCTTGCATTAATTTTTGACTTGAATGACTTGGTCATTTTGAGAAATGATGAGTGTTTCAGAGTTTCTTACTCATTAATTGATCTGTCTTATGTTGATGTAGGTAATGAGAGTAAAAATGTTCAATGTTGAATATTGTTACTCCTTCCATTATGGCTGATTCCTGGCATAATGGGTTTGCTCATTTATTGTAAACCATTAGGGTCCTAGATATCTTGCTAGTGTTCAAAACATAGCAAAACTCTTTGCGGGTAGCAGTGGCGTGGAGATGGGAGTGGGATAGGAAAATATTGTGCATCATAACTCTGAGGATTGGATTTTAAAAATAATGTATCACCTGTTTTCTCTCCTGCTAGCTTGCTCCAACCCTAAATAGATTTTAAACTTCAAAGCTTTCTGCAAAATGGGGATATTATTACTAAGAGCGATGCTGTGACAAGTAGAACACCTAACTTGGTGCCTGGCCCATCTCAGCCAGTAAATAAATGGCAGCATCTGTGACTTCTTGAAAACTGAGCTCATGATTACTCAACCTTTCAGACTGTTCCTCCTCAGTTTTTCATCTCATCCATCTAATGAGTGGCTCAGGCCAGGAGGCTGGAGTTATCTTCCACTCTGTGTTCTGTTCTGTCACCCCCCAGCCAACCAGTTTGTCACAAAGTCCTGTCTACTTTTCGGGCATAATCTCTTTCAAACCTGATTTTCAGTCTCCACTATGCTCCCATCCTGGTTCAAGCCACCACCGTCCTCTTTCCCACTGCAGAGGCCTCCGGCTCACACTCTGCCCTTCCTTCCAGTCCCTCTTCCACCAGCAGCCAGAAAGAGAAAAAAGAAGTCACTTGCTCTTTAAAGTCTTCAGAGTTCTTATTCTTGGGGTAAAATATAAAATCTTCAACATTCCTACAAGGTCCTGTGTCATTTGGTCCCGTCCCCCATTTTCATCTCTGGCCAGCCACGTGATTCAGCTCTCTAGCAGACTCACCTCAGGGCTCCTGCTGGTGGTCTACTTCAGGACCACCTCCTTGAGTAATTTCTCATCCTTGGGTGCTGGTTCAGATATCCTCTATAAACGTCTTCCCTGAGAAGGCCACCCGTGTCGTCATGCGACTTAGAACCCCTTGATCGTCTCCCTCATAGCAGTTATCTTTTCCTTCTTAATATTTACCATAGTTTATAATTATGTGTTATTTGTTTAATATTTCTCTCTTGCCCCTGAGGGCAGAAATAATGCCTGGTTTATTCACCAGTCTATACCCAGTGCCTGGTGTTTATATAGTAAATGCTCAATAAATAGTTATTGTTGTAATGAATAAGATAGTAATACAACTTGTGATTTGTATATTGATTGCCTTCTTTATCACTGTTAAATCTGCTTCTAACATAAAAGCCAGGCTGGCTGTCTCCTACATTCCTTCTTTTTTGGTTTTATGTATAACATGAAATATCCTTTGCAGATATCAGGTAAAATGAATACATTGGAGCTCTGTGGAAAATTCATAAATAAATTGAGACACCTTTTAATTGGTGTTACCCTTGTGATTTTCTGTTGTAGATAATCCTTTTTCTAAGTACATCATTAAAGGAATTATGGTTTTTTCATCAGCACAGGATTACTGAAAGTAAAAAAAAACTTACCATGTCACATTAGTTTGCACATGTCATATGATAACATGTTAGTCAGCAGCCGTGGATTGCACCAGTGCTCGAATTCAAAGGAAGAAAGGGCAAACTGGAGTAGAAAAAGGAGAGTTATAGTTCTAAGGATGTTTAGTACTGTCCAGCTATTGCTGTGACTTGAATAAATAACTAGTGTCACTTGGCCATTTAGTTAAGGTGGAGAGGGAGTTGCTTAAAAATGGGAGCCACCTAGAGGTCTG